TTTAAATTAAATTAAAATTTTTGATTTGAACGATATTTAAGCAGTCTTGATATCGAGATATAACACGATTTTTCATAAATTTGCTTTAGCTGAGAGCTTGTTTTATTGTCTTTCTAGTGCAAGTCTCTACGGTCTTTGGTTGTTTTTTAATAATATTTAAAGTTAAAAAAGTCAGTTGTTTAAAAAATTTGCTATCTAAACAAAGTCGTTGCTATCTAGGCTTAGATTACTTTCAAACCTGAGCCTAGATAGCAACGACGCTGAGGGGTCCAAGCCGGAATTGGAACACGAAATTTTTATAAGTTCATTAATTTGTCAAAATTTGCCAAATTTAAGGTAGAAATTTCATTAAAAATAAAGAATTGTTTTTATAGTATGCATTTATATATCGAAATAAATTTTTTGCACAAACGGCCCTTCAATCATGTATACATCTCCATAAAGATGAAGAAATTTTCTTTTCAAAGAGCTAAAAAACTTAAAAATCGTACATAGTTTTTTTATAAACCAGCGCCAAGTTAGCAACGTTGCTGGAAAATGCAGGGCTGTATTTTCAAAAAATTTTTAAAAAATGATATTTTCGTTAATATATGGAATTAAACTAAAACAAAAGGCATTATTCTTATAGAGTTTTGAAAGATCTTTCGATTGGCATTTACCAATTTGAGATACGATGCGTATTTTTCAAATTATAGGGAAAATAAAAATTGACCAAAATCGACTTTTTTTGAAAAAATTTATTTTTAGAAAAATCTAGAACAGGTACAATGTTGCACGGAAATACATCTAATAGAGAATTAATCAGGCTATCAATAGCAAAAAAAATCATAAAAATCGAGTAGACCAATTTTGAGAAATTTGATGTCAAAGTCAAATTTCCAAACTCGTCAAATTTCAAGCTTTTTAAAAAATGTAAAACGCAAAAGTATAAAAAAAACTTTCACAAAACCGGATAAATAAGAATCATTTCAATATCTCAACTAAAACATCAAAATATTATTAAAATAAGCATAAATTTTGCACATGTTCCGATATAAGTGCATTTTATTTAAATTTCGAAGGGGGTACAAACTGCACGTTTAAAGTTCCTAAAACTAAATTGATCACTCTTTCAAACAAAACTAATTTCACAAATATCGAGTAGAACGTTTTTTAATTATATATGTTTAAAAAAGTGGATTTTTTACGAAAAAAATGTATGTTAACTAACACCATTCCAATAACATATTAAGGTGAAAACCTGTACAAGGCTAAAAATTCACCACCACTGTAAAGTTTATTAAAGAACTCTGTTAAAAGTATTTATAGGCGGTTGCATTCTGTGGTAAAGGGATGATAATAAAATTTAATTTATATAATAATAATATTTTAAATTCAATACTTAAATTAAATTCAAAAATATATTGCATATAAAAAAGAAAGATTTACGTCTGTAAACTGCTAACATATACCGCCATATCGAACATTTTTCAATATATATTAGAAACAAAAATAAAAAGTAGTACAATGTTGCACGGTATTTTTTTAAATTGTTTATATTTTTCTAATATAAATTGATGTAAGAATTATCAAAATCGAGTAGCAAACAATAAAGATATTAACAAAAACAACTTTTGCAGCATATTCACAAATGCATTGAACTCTGTTACAGGCATTTGTTGTTGGTAACAGAGTTCAATGCATTGATGATTGATAGCATTGATGGTCAGGATTTGTTCCCTACACCATTTTTCGACGCATTTGAGAGCACCTCTTATTACGTTTCTTATGGTATCTGGGAACTTGCCGTTCACCATCAGTGCTATATCGTTCGCATACCCAATTGTTTGTATGCCTTTGAAGTCAAGCTGTTGAAATAGAGAGTCTATGGTCTGCCTCTCAGTTTATGTCTTTCATTTTGTAGGTTTACTGCTCTTTGCCTTAGCAAGAAACCTATCCATCCAATAATGAATGAACCGACTTCTCGGTCAGCTGGAGCAGATTTTGATTTATCAAAGCTTACTTTGTCAAAGGTTCCTTTGATGTCCATCATGATTGCCATCGAAATGCCTCCTGAAGTAAGCTCTCTCTCAGCTGTCCTCACGACCTCGTGCAGGGTAGTTTCTGTGAATCACCCCGCCCTATAGGCATGTTGACATCTGCTTAAAGGATATTTCATTAGGTTGGTGCCTTCTAGGTAGTCCACTATTACCTTTTCCATAGCTTTAAGCATGAAAGCGGTAAGGCTAATTGGCCTGAATGACTTTACTTCTGTCTAATCCTTCTTTCTCGGCTTTGGAGACATGGTAACACCGTGCGTAGTCAGAATTCATTGTTTTAAAATATATTCTTTGCATTAATATAAAAAGCATTCGTTTTGATTAATTAAATTACTGATTAAAATATATATATGTTTAATTATTGTAATTGGTTTTTGTGATAATTTATAATTATTTAACCCTTTAATCATAAGCTACGCTCGCATCATATTTTACATTAATAAGAGTAAACGAAATTAAAAGTAGAAATAAAATGGCTTCAGTTGACAAGTCCTCTTGTATTTAGTGTTCTTGGTAGTAGTCCCTGTGGAGAGCTAGTATATTTTTTTTTTAATTTAAGATTTTATTCCAACATCTGATGCAGCGTTTTCCTTTTCAGCCACGTAAAAATTTTTGAGGGAGACATCAAATTCGAAGTAAGAATTTTGTGAAAATTTATATTCTTTCATAGTATTTTCTGGCTACCTTTTTTACTTCATCTGTTACTGGAATTATCCTTAAGTCCCAATGGATTTGAATGTTGGTTACATATCATGGAGCGTTCATCATTTCTCCTAAAGATTTAGACTGGAATCTTTGAAGAATTTCAATGTTGAGGCTGTTCGCAATAGTTGAATGCCATAAGTCCATACTGGCTTTACCACACTTTTGTATAAAATAAGTTTATTTTTTAGGGATACTAAAGCTTTTTTTATTCAGTAATCAAAACATTTTTCGGTATTTTTTTTTTTGTTAAAAATATGTGTTTTTTATGTCAGATGTCCAGTGCATGCTCAGAATATTTGCTCTTCAATCATTTTGATATATTATCAATGCCAGCATGTAGTTCAAAAGAGGCTACAAAAGGATCGGTCGCACTGTCGTCTTTGTTGAATCGAATATGAAGAGCAGATAAAAGATTGGACCGAGTACACTGCCTTGTGGTACTCCAGATTTAGTATCATATAAAGAAGACACTTTAGTCTCACTGTTGACATAAAAGAGTCTTGTCAATAGATACGATTTTATGAACGTATAGTAATTTAGTGGTAAAAGCTTTTTGCATTTGAAGGGAAGTCCTTGGTGCCATACACTATCAAATGCTTAAGATATATCCAAAAACGCTGCTAAGCAGTATTCTTTTTGCTCGAAAGTGGTCTGTATTTTTTTCAAAAACTCTATGTACTTGCTTAATAGTTGAATGTTTTCTTCTGAATCCAAACTGGTCATTCGGTATTATTCGTTTCGACTCAATTATCGGCATAAAACGTTTTAAGAATAATATCTCAGGCACTTTTAAGAGAATGGGAAAAAGGCGGATGATAAAATTTAACATCTTTAGTTGGTTTCCCTAGTTTTAGTATTAACTTTATTTCGGCAACTTTCTATTGAGTTGGGATGCAGCTTTTTCACAAGGAAGCATTTAAAAGATGGGTAATAAATATTAAAGCAACATATGGAAGTTTTTTTACGGATTTCAGCAGTTATGAGGTCATAACCAGATTTTTATTTTTAAGAGATTTAATTGTAAAAATTACCTTAAGATCAAAAAAGAACAAGAATTTAAAAAAAAAAAACGGAAAATATTAATTATTAATCATTTTCTTTATTATCGCCTTCAAAGTTGATCCAATTTTCAATAAAAGTTTTATAGGACACCGAAGGTATGACATTTAGTTCACGCAGCGAATTCTCTTTTATGGCCTCTGTTGCGATAACATAATATTTGTTTTATATATTGAACTGGTATGTATGCTACTGCAACGTCATACCGGAATTAACATGAAAAATTAATTGGATAGCGGTAAAGAGGTGATATATAAAATGGGTGGGTGGCGGCAAAACGGTCGCTTTTTTCCTTGCTTTTAAATTATGTGCGCATAAAGAAATTGTGAAAAAGTGCAGAAAATCGGAGTGATATTTTTCTTTCTCTAAAAAGACAAAACTTTGATTTATAACCATGTCTAAAAACGATGATAAACACAAAAGTTATCTACATTATGTTAAATTTAAAAAAAAAATTACCTTTAAAAACATGGAAAAGTTATTTTGAGAGTTAGAGCGTTATGCATTTATTGGGTTGAACTTTACTCAAAATATTTTATATATTTTTTGTATCACAAAAACAAATTGTTAAAATAGACTCGTTGAGTCTCGTGCACTTTTAAGAAAAATAAAGTTTCAGTTTCTCGTTTACTCTTACTATAGAAAGTTGGTGTTTTTATTACTTTTCGCGAATTTGAATAATTGAGGAGTTTTTTGTTTTTTTACGGTTTGGTATTTTTGCTTTTTATGAACATTGAAATTTTTACTCATATCAAAGAAAAGCCTTTGGTCAGACATTTTTGGCGTCCAACGTGGAGCTGGTGAACACTATTATTTTGAAGGTCATTCAAACAGTTTATATACTGTGCAGTGCTAAAATTACCACGGTTGGTGTTAAAAATTTTGAAACCGATTATTTCTATATATTTTATATACATACGTATTTATATATAAAAGAAACATAACGTTTTTATAGTTGGTATCCATACCCGTTACGATTTTCACATATGCTCTGTGCGTTAAGAAAATCATGTTGTTTTCGATATTCTTACGGTAGTTGGTACTTTGCTATCTTGCTGCTACATCTGATGTCGTACTACAACGCAAAAATCACTTAATAGCATTCTTATGGTTGGTGCCACAATTCAGGAAGATTTGTTTATGCTTTTGTTACGTTTCCGCCATTATCGCTACGTCATTACTGTAGACATAGTGAAAATGTTTAGACAAATCTTAGTTGACTCACGTGACCGCTGTTTTCAATATATTTTATGGCGTGCCTCAGAAAGTGAAGAGATACATACCTATCAACTCAATACTGTTACATACGGAACAGCAAGTGCACCGTTTCTAGCTGTGAGAAGCCTACACTACTTGGCTGATGAATATGCTTTCGAATTTCCAATTGGTTCAAAGTCATCATTCTACATCGATGATTTTCTATGCGGAGCAAACTCATTAGATGAATTGTCAGCAATAAAATATGAAGTCTTTAGTATTTTGCGAAACGGTTGTATGGAAGTCGCTAAGTGGCATTCCAAAATCGAAACATTTGTCGACGATATCACTATTAAGGATTTAAACCTCACTGATACTTCAATCACTAATGCATTGGGCATTATGTGGGATCAGACGCAAGATCAATTTTTGTTTTCATTTTCACCAAAAGATCTTCACAAAGGTAACTTAACAAAACGCTCTATTTTATCGCTCGCTTCATCACTATTTGATCCACTTGGACTGCTTGCGCCACTACTCATTATTGCAAAAATAATTTTAAAAGAATTGTGGCTACTCAAATTAAATTGGGATGAGACAATACCACAGAATTTATACACTGCGTGGGAAAATTTCCTGAAACAACTATATTCACTATCTTCAATTGTTATACCGCGCTTTTGTCTCGGTGTCAACTCACAGGTTATTCAATTACTTGGCTTTTGTGACTCATCCTTAAAAGCCTCCAACACAAAACATTGTTGTAAATTTGCTATGTGCAAAATCTCGCGTAGCTCCTACGAAGAAAAAGTCGTTGCCGAAACTTGAACTTTGTACAGCTCAGTTACTTGCTGTTCTCTCTTTCTCTCTTTGACAAAGTTAAAAGTATTTTCAATAATATCAAGTTTGCAATCTATTTGTGGTGTGACTCACAAATTGTTCTACATTACGTATGCATTCATCGACATTATCAACTTTTGTAGGAAATCGAGTATCAATTATACAGAACTTCACCGTTAATTGCGATTGGAGATATGTACCATCTCAACAGAACCTTGCTGATATTGTGTCGAGAGCCTGCACAGTTCCAGAAATTATTGAATCAATTTGGTGTAAGGGCCTAGCGTTTTTATACGGTCCACAAATTGAGTGGCCCAAAGTTGGTCACGTTACTGTTGACATGGAACAAGTTAATAAAGAAAAACGAAATGCTATCGAAATTTAGTTCACACATCACTAATGTACGTGTGATAGCGTGGATGCTTCGTTTTTTGAGGAAGATAAATAAATCAGTATGCAACATTTGCGAAACAGAATCACTGTCTGCTCCAGAAATCGAAACTACGCTTTGATGTATAGTTTGGAACATTTTTTAAATGGGTTCTTGATCAACCAAACATTAAGGTTAATGCATTACTGATCATTCACGAAGACAACGTGCCACCGCAACATTGGATAACTGGCAGAGTAATTTCAGTCATCCCAGGCAAAGATAATCGTGTGAGAGTCGTTGAGATGAAAACGCCAAAGTGCATTATACGACGTCCCATTCATAAACTGGCACTTCTTCTAGCATGAAAGTTCTTTCATGGAGGCCGGGATGTTGGGTTGAACATTACTCAAAATATTATATTTTTTTTTGTATTACAAAAACAAATTGTTAAAATAGACTCGTTGAGTCTCGCGCACTTATAAGAAAAATAAAGTTTCAGTTTCTCGTTTACTCTTACTATAGAAAGTTGGTGTTTTTATTACTTTTAGTGAATTTATATAATTGAGGAGTTTTTTGTTTTTTTACGGTTTGCTATTTTTGCTTTTTATGAACATTGTAATTTTAACTTAGATCAAAGAAAAACCTTTGGTCAGCATTTTTTTTGCATTTATTTTTTTTTGTACGTAAACCGATATCTGTTAAAAATGAAAAGAATTTTTGTTATTAAATAAAAATTATTATTCGAAAATGAACAAAATAAAAAAAAAATAAAAAAATTCCTGAAACGAAGATATAATTTAAAGATATGTTGTTTCCGGTTTTCGTAAGTAATTTTGAAGTGAACGTATAGCGGTGACATGGTGGTCAGCCCGGTATGTTCGCCGGTTTTGGGGGTGGTTCTTCTCACGCTCAGCAACAATCGCGGACGTCAACAAAAATTTATGTCACCTGCGTATATTAGAAGTAAGTCAGCCATAGAAGCAAACCTACATGGTTAGCTGCATCAAACAATTGTGATACAACGTTGTCATTGCTTGAATCATCCCAGTTCCTGTCACATTCACCAAAGAAAAATGTACACGTATCATTCACATAGCCACATCACACCCTATATGGATGTGGATATAGGGTGCTCCGCGGATAGCTAAGCACTTTCATTGCTTCCCTGACCCACAGTTTCGGCAAACAGGAGTTTCGTCTGTCTACAAGTGCTGAACTCTCTCCATCTACTGAGATGAAGTCAGGTTATCCATTTATAGACATAGGCTGTCATCATGTTGTAACTCAATGGTATTCTGGACTCTGGTTCACAGAAAGTATTACTTGATCCTTGCTTTGGAAGTTCATCTGCCTTCTCGTTTTGCTCAATACCGATTTGTCCTTTAACCCACATGACCGTCACCTCATTTCCTTGAGCATAATCCATGAGCTTCGTTACACATTCTTGAATTAAGCTGTTAGCTATGTATGTCTTTTGCATGCTTTTGATAACTGCTTGATTGTCCAGCGCTATCAGAATCTTTTTCTGATACACCTGACAATCGAATAGGTGATCCAAAGCATGTGAGACTGCCATAAGTTCCGCCCGATAGACGGAAACATATATTCCTAGATGAAGAGTGGACGTTAGATTTAGCTCTTTCGAGTAAATCCAAGCACCAGCTCTGTCATCCATCAAGGAGCCATCAGTAAATATGCATATGTCATTCCTTTCACATTCATCATGTATAAGGCTGTCTATTATCAGTGTTCTATAGGACACTTCTGCCCCATAAGTTTTCCTCATAGTCATCTTAGTCATCCTCATGGCATCTGTGTTTCCCTGAACGTGGTCTAGACGAGGTTACGAATTTTCCGATGGTCCATCAATTTTCCGGAGTTGTTCTACATGGAGCTCCAGTTCATGCGAATTGCTGCCAGTGCCGCCGTTTTCTTTATATGTAAATCCAACGGAAGCAAACCTAAAATCGCCTCTAACGCCGGTCTTGGTGTAGTGCGCATAGCGTCTGTTATTCTAACACAGGCTAGTCGCTGGACCCTACCAGACAACTGACGCATATGTTATAATAGGTCTGACCATCATCGTATAGATCCAGTGCATCGACTTTGGGGATATCCCCCATCGTCTTCCGCACACTCTCTTACATTGAAATAGGGCTCTCTTCGCTTTTCTGATCTTTTCATCCACATGTTCATTGCAAGTCAGTTTATTATCTAGGATGACGCCTAGATGCTTCACCGACTTCGATATGCGAATGTTGTTATCGAAAAGTTCTAAAGGTTCCATTGACAGACTTCTCTTCCTTATGAAGAGGATAGTGTCTGATTGATAGCATTGATGGTCAGGATTTGTTCCCTACACCATTTTTCGACGCATTTGAGAGCACCTCTTATTACGTTTCTTATGGTATCTGGGAACTTGCCGTTCACCATCAGTGCTATATCATTCGCATACCCAATTGTTTGTATGCCTTTGAAGTCAAGCTGTTGAAATAGAGAGTCTATGGTCTGCCTCTCAGTTTATGTCTTTCATTTTGTAGGTTTACTGCTCTTTGCCTTAGCAAGAAACCTATCCATCCAATAATGAATGAACCGACTTCTCGGTCAGCTGGAGCAGATTTTGATTTATCAAAGCTTACTTTGTCAAAGGCTCCTTTGATGTCGATCATGATTGCCATCGAAATGCCTCCTGAAGTAAGCTCTCTCTCAGCTGTCCTCACGACCTCGTGCAGGGTAGTCTCTGTGAATCACCCCGCCCTATAGGCATGTTGACATCTGCTTAAAGGTTATTTCATTAGGTTGGTGCCTTCTAGGTAGTCCACTATTACCTTTTCCATAGCTTTAAGCATGAAAGCGGTAAGGCTAATTGGCCTGAATGACTTTACTTCTGTGTAATCCTTCTTTCCCGGCTTTGGAGACATGGTAACACCGTGCGTAGTCAGAATTCATTGTTTTAAAATATATTCTTTGCATTAATATAAAAAGCATTCGTTTTGATTAATTAAATTACTGATTAAAATATATATATGTTTAATTATTGTAATTGGTTTTTGTGATAATTTATGATTATTTAAGCATGAAATTTTGCAAATGTACGTAAGAGGGAGTAGGAACCCTTTAATCATAAGCTACGCTCGCATCATATTTTACATTAATAAGAGTAAACGAAATTAAAAGTAGAAATAAAATGGCTTCAGTTGAGAAGTCCTCTTGTATTTAGTGTTCTTGGTAGTAGTCCCTGTGGAGAGCTAGTATATTTTTTTTTTAATTTAAGATTTTATTCCTACATCTGATGCAGCGTTTTCCTTTTCAGCCACGTAAAAATTTTTGAGGGAGACATCAAATTCGAAGTAAGAATTTTGTGAAAATTTATATTCTTTCATAGTATTTTCTGGCTACCTTTTTTACTTCATCTGTTACTGGAATTATCCTTAAGTCCCAATGGATTTGAATGTTGGTTACATATCATGGAGCGTTCATCATTTCTCCTAAAGATTTAGACTGGAATCTTTGAAGAATTTCAATGTTGAGGCTGTTCGCAATAGTTGAATGCCATAAGTCCATACTGGCTTTACCACACTTTTGTATAAAATAAGTTTATTTTTTAGGGATACTAAAGCTTTTTTTATTCAGTAATCAAAACATTTTTCGGTATTTTTTTTTTTGTTAAAAATATGTGTTTTTTATGTCAGATGTCCAGTGCATGCTCAGAATATTTGCTCTTCAATCATTTTGATATATTATCAATGCCAGCATGTAGTTCAAAAGAGGCTACAAAAGGATCGGTCGCACTGTCGTCTTTGTTGAATCGAATATGAAGAGCAGATAAAAGATTGGACCGAGTACACTGCCTTGTGGTACTCCAGATTTAGTATCATATAAAGAAGACACTTTAGTCTCACTGTTGACATAAAAGAGTCTTGTCAATAGATACGATTTTATGAACGTATAGTAATTTAGTGGTAAAAGCTTTTTGCATTTGAAGGGAAGTCCTTGGTGCCATACACTATCAAATGCTTAAGATATGTCCAAAAACGCTGCTAAGCAGTATTCTTTTTGCTCGAAAGTGGTCTGTATTTTTTTCAAAAACTCTATGTACTTGCTTAATAGTTGAATGTTTTCTTCTGAATCCAAACAGGTCATTCGGGATTATTCGTTTCGACTCAATTATCGGCATAAATCGTTTTAAGAATAATATCTCAGGCACTTTTAAGAGAATGGGAAAAAGGCGGATGATAAAATTTAACATCTTTAGTTGGTTTCCCTAGTTTTAGTATTATCTTTATTTCGGCAACTTTCTATTGAGTTGGGATGCAGCTTTTTCACAAGGAAGCATTTAAAAGATGGGTAATAAATATTAAAGCAACATATGGAAGTTTTTTACGGATTTCAGTAGTTATGAGGTCATAACCAGATTTTTATTTTTAAGAGATTTAATTGTAAAAATTACCTTAAGATCAAAAAAGAACAAGAATTTAAAAAAAAAAACGGAAAATATTAATTATTAATCATTTTCTTTATTATCGCCTTCAAAGTTGATCCAATTTTCAATAAAAGTTTTATAGGCCACCGAAGGTATGACATTTAGTTCACGCAGCGAATTCTCTTTTATGGC